TCGAGCTCAGAAACATCACAGGAGAACAAGACTTGAAAACCAAGCCTTCGGCAACTGCAGCCCTCGGCAGGTAGGAGCCCTCGGTTAGAAGAGGCATCACAGGAGAACAAGGCTTGAAAACCAAGCCTTCGGCACCTGCAGCCCTCGGCAGGTAGGAGCCCTCGGTTAGAAGAGGCATCACAGGAGAACAAGGCTTGAAAACCAAGCCTTCGGCACCTGCAGCCCTCGGCAGGTAGGAGCCCTCGGTTAGAAGCGCCTTCGGCCCAGCACCCTTCAGCCGAAGGCATCCACCTCGACAGAATATCCTCTTCACATGCGCCTGGATCACCGTACCAAGTACAAACGTCACATCCAACCACCGCATTTAATGCGGCCACATGCGAGTGCCAGTGCCACCCCGGTCGAGGTGACCCCTCGACCACCAGAAAACTGACATGTGTCCTTATCTAGCATTTATTACTACTATAAATAGCACCCCATTTCCCCATTTGTAACCCAGAAGCAAAATACGCTTAATACACATCGAGTATACACTCTCTCTCTCTTACTTATTTGCTCTGACTTCTCTCTAGTTATTCTCCGCAATAACCCCTCGGATAAGCTACCCCTCGGGTACACTATCCATCAGTTTCACAAGTGAGTAACTTCGGTTTATTAATGCACGGTCATGGTTGATAAACTTAAGAGGGATTAATTTTGTTGGTTAAACCGAAACCGTTGTGTTGAGGTTATCAATCTCAATTGATTTCGTCAAGGAGTTAAGAGATTAAATGCTACTATCAAGTCGGTATATGGCGGTGTTCTATACTTGACTAATAGTAAGGGTTATTAATGAACGGTCGTTGTTAATAATTACCCTCGATGAATTGGATATAATCCTCGATTGAGTATTCGAGAGGGAATAAGTTATAGATATAACAACGATCAACTAAAATATATCAACAAGTGGAAAGTAGCAATGCCAAGTTCTTTTATCTTTGAATTAAAACACATATAGGTTGTTCATCTTAGTTTTTAATTAAATTAAATCATTCAACACCAAAACCCCCCTTTTATTTACTAAGTTCGTAAAAAGAAAAGTATTCCTTTCCTTTTGGATACGAACTCTACTTCACTATACTACGTATAAGTGGTAGTATTGAATTTATTTTGACGCACCGTGACAAAGTGCTCATCATTTTTACTTTGCTGCTTCGGATTACATAAATAATGGAAACAATAAAAATTTTCGGAATACCCCTAGTTGGATTACACAATTCCGACTAGGTTTTTTTAATGTAATCCTTCCTGTCGGAATTGGAGAATCCGACTCCCGCAAAATGATAACCTAATCTGAAGTCCCGTATTTTGGCTTGTCAGTCACAAAATCCCCGTAAATTGGTAATTTCCTCTTGAAATTACCCTAGTCTCCCATGTGATCACGCTAGATTTCACAGGAATGAGCAAAGCTTCCACAAGATTCTAGTTTTAGACACCTAAAAACTCTTGATAATCATGTAGGAATGATAAGTCCGTATTTCGATACACATTTGATTCGTGTTGAGATCGTATTTTGATGGGTTTTCTAGCTTAAAGGTGTCATAAGTTTCATAATTAGATCAAGTCATATTTTGTCGGGCGTTGGTTCGTGTTTGGTATTTTTAGAATCAAAATCAGGGAAATAAGCCCGACACCGGCGTTTGAGAAGTAATCCAGAGAGTTGAGACGCATTTGAGATTATTGAGAAGCATTGAAGGTTCACGATTCATTAAAGGAATGATTTTGAAGTCAAGGGAGCTCAAGGATCAAGTACGAGATCAAAAGAAGACGAATAGAGCTTGAAAACGGTGATCAGGATGACGTTCTGCTAATCATTCAAGCATATCTTTTTGTATAAACCTTCAAAGTACACGATTCAAGTTCCATATGAAAGCCAACTTCAAGGAATACAAATCATATGAGTACACCGTGACGAGAATCTGATAGGAGAAAGGTGAAAACAGACGAGGAAGTTTGAAGAATTCAAAATTCAAGTATACGTTATTCATTGTATTTTGTCTTTATGTTCTTTAAAACCCATGCATGCCTCACGTATGAAAGATAAGAGATTGCATTATTATCTCATTCTTTAGGTTCTCTTTCCTTCCTTTATTTTCTCTTTTATTTCTTTATATTTTTCACAATTAATATGGTATCAGAGCTGATACCATAAAACAGCGCACTATTATATTAATAGTCCTCCACCACTTGGCACTCCAAGTGGTAAATGGGTATATTTTGATCTAATCTCAAATGACGTTCACTATCTCTCAGAATATGTTGAGTTATTTTTCACTCAATCTAAACCAGATTATTCTATGTTTATTTACAAATGCAAGTTACATTTAACAATTTTGCTTGTTTATGTAGATGATATAGTTATCACAGGTGACGACGTGCTCCTCATCCCTATAATAAAGTGGTATTTAGCAAACCATTTCTACCTTAAAGACCTTGGCCCATTAAAATATTTTTTAGGGATTGAAGTTGCACGCTCATCATTGGGCATATTCCTCAACCAACGGAAATATGCTTTGGAGATCCTTAATGATGTTGGGCTTCTTGCTTGCAAGCCAACCATCACACGCATGGATGCTAGTGATAGATCGGTATTCAGCTTCAGCAGAGGAACGAGAGACAGTTGTTTATTTCTTAGTCCGCCATGATATTGGACTAGTCCCCAAGAATGTGCAATAGCCAGAGGTAGAGCGTCGAGTGGTGGGGCAAGATGCCCAACCATCACCTCTCGCTATAATTAATACTAATATGGACAAATGTAAGAAATAATTTTGGACATAATTAATTTGGATTAAGCCCCAAACCAGGAAATTAATCCCAAAACAGCCACTTCTTTCCAAGACACCATCAATATTTGGTTTTGGGCTTCTAAACCTTTATACCATGAATGCACAATGCTAAATGAAATGAATATTTTATCTATAACAAAATCATCTTTCCAATTATAAAACATTAGTCAAATCAGGTTAACTATAACACCATTAAGAAGGCATAAGCTATTTTGAAACCCGCCGCCCCACAAGGCTTGATGTTGTTACTACTGAATGCCATCTAGATTCAGTACTGTGCTCACAAACCAACACGAGTCTTTTACCATGCACTTTGACCTCACTCGCGCACACACTGATAAACTTTATCGTAGATGGTTAACTTGGAATTTTTAGGAGATGAGCTCCTTAAAAGGAGATACATTTTATTGGTATGGATAGTACATATTAATTCTTTAAATTAATCTCGAGTATTACAATCACCCCCACTGGGGGGGAGTCCTCATTGCGCTAGTAATTCAATCTTAATCAATCTCCAAAATTCTCCTGTGCTAAGTGTCCGTCCGATATCCACTGGATCAACACACTATCACAGGGTTGCTCCAATACAACTTGTAACACCCCTCGCAGGGCTCGAGGTAGCTACTCCTGAATGCCTTCCAGACAAAGTATTATCCTCACAAACCAATATGATCCTTTTACCGCACGCTTTATCCTAACTCTTGCGCACCCTGAGAAACTTCTGAGAGGAACTCACATCATAAGACCACTCTCGTATAAGCACGCTTAACTTGAAGTTGTTAAGAGATGAGCTCCTTAAAAAATAAGAATATACACCTTGTTTGTACGAGTAGTACTATTATTTATTTTAGATTAATCTTCAGTATTACAAATTTCATTATTTGAGTTGATTTATTTTAACTAGTGGTGTTCTATACTTCCAATTAAATTTAATTGGAGATTTGTTTGTTTCTTTAAGAATATTAATAAGGGGAAAAAGTTGTAGCACAGCTAATGTGTTTTTGATAATACTTTTAATATAACAATATAGACTACTAAATATATAAAAGAAATTCTTCCAAATAGGAGAAAACAATGATAAAGTGTACAATTAGAAGTAACCACGTTTTATTCCCAAAAGATCTTATTTGTACTATCTATGTTTTACTCCTATTTAATAATTTGTCTCGATGTAATGCCCTTAATATAATAATATTATAATAATATATAATATTAGCCTAAATAAATACAGTAATACGTAGTATTTATAATATATAAAATACTACGTAGTACGTAGTAGTTATGTACATATTGTTTTAGGGAAAACAGAACAAAAAACGTATGTCATATACGGCCATCGGCTAAGTGGCTAACAATCGGATATCTTAGTGGCAAATAAACAACCATACGTTCACACAACATACGTACAAGTAGAGAGTATTTTGAAAGACTTCCAACTCTAATGATATTCCGTGTGATTCTGTACACCTTTTAATCATTGTCCTGACGTCTAAATGGTTTATTTGTGATAGATGTTCAAATATATATAATACGTTGTGGAGTACAATTTTTTATATGTATATATTTTTGAGCTATCTTATTTTATGCTCCGTGTAATTATATACTCGTATATAAATGATTTCATTCACTTTTAAAGATCCAGAACTCACAACCATGGGGTGAAATCATTTTCACTATGATAAACAGCGCAGTACAATTCGGGAAATCATTTGACTGCCTTCCCGGTTGATTTTTTAGCTGAAATTTTGTATGGGTAAACTAGACTTAATGAAGAAGATGTTCAAAAAATTTCATCAAACAATTCCACCGGAAACCGTCCCAATTGGCGACGGCCGAGCAGAAACTCCTATATAAGGGGCTAATTGAACACTTTAAGTTAGTTCACGTACCTATTTGACCCTTTAGCCTTTTTTACTTATACACGTAGTAGCATCTAAAAATACAAAGATGTTTTCATGAGCAATAACAGGATATTCAGGACTCTAATTTAAAGCTTACACAATGAAAACAAATAAAATGAATATAATTATTAAGAATAAAGAATAGATTGAGTATCAAATTAAATTCAAAATACTTGAATTGCACGTACAAACATAACAATATAAAAGTTGGTCGCTAGAGAACAAATTTTTCCACTTTCCCTCTCTATATAAAGACCTCCCAACCTTCATTTCCTTTCATTCATATCATTAGCTGTGAACTAACTTCATCGGTTATAAACACACTATAACGCCGACCCGACGGATCATCGTCAGATATAGAGTTAGCCTATACATAACTCTATTCTGATCAGATCTTGGTGGCCTGGTTATTAATTTACACACAACTTAAAGAGTTTCATCATATCAATGGCTCTCTTGGGTGGTCACTTGGCTTTTACTTTTGGAGTGCTTGGGAACATAGTCTCCTTCATTGTTTTCCTCTCTCCTTTGTAAGTTGTAGAATTAGTTTGATTTCTCTTTCTTTGAGTAATTTATTTACTTAATTATTGTATTTGGTCAAATATATGAAGAATAAAAAGGTGAGATCGATCACTTAACTAGATGTTAATATCATACGTAGTATTTGTGATTCTATGGTCCGACGACTAGAATTGTGATTCTGTGGCTTGACCTTTCTGGTCAAGCCACAAAGATATTTAATATGAGACACGTCCTCCTAAGGGCCACATACTATTAATGGATTTAGGTTCACATAGACTTAAAATCATATTGATTCCTTCTTATTTTATTGGAACTAACTATTTGTATGACGGGATTTATATAGGCCTACATTCTATAAGATTTACAAGAAGAAATCGGCAGAGGGGTATCAATCGATTCCGTATGTGGTTGCGCTCTTCAGCTCGATGCTATGGATATACTACGCCTTCCTGAAGTCGAACACCACCCTTCTCATTACCATAAACTCATTTGGGTGTTTCATCGAAACCATTTACGTTAGCTTCTACATCTACTACGCGACCAAGGAAGCGAGGATGCAGACAGTGAAGATGATTGTATTGATGGAGCTCGTAGGTTTCGGGGCCGTCGTCCTCGTCTCCCAGTTCCTCTTCCAAGGGGTGGTTCGTGCCCAAGTTGTCGGTTGGGTTTGCCTCGTTTTCTCCTTGTGCGTTTTTGTCGCCCCTTTGTGTATTGTGGTAAGTGTTGTGTTACTCCCTATTGTTTTTCCAACTTTCTTAGCTAATTACTAAGCATGTTAGGTAGTATAAATCAGCATGCTTTGATTTCGATCAAATTGGGAATAAAAACATGTTACTTGTAATTAGGGGAAGTCCCAAAGTTGTTGTGCTCTAATAGTATTTTGGGTACGTAATTATTGCAATAATTGAACTTCTAAATCTTCTTATTACTAACTAATTTCTATTAATCATGCAGAGGCAAGTAATCAAGACAAAGAGCGTTGAGCACATGCCAATTCTTTTATCAATTTTCTTAACATTCAGCGCGGTCATGTGGTTCTTCTATGGTTTGCTCTTGAAAGACATAAACATAGCGGTAAGTAGATCAAACAATGATTCCTAAAGATACATAAAATTAATACTGCCTCATCCCTAAATGTTTTAATCGATCTATGACGTTTCAAGTCAACGGTGATAAAGTTTGGACCATGATTTTGATTAATACTATGTAGGGGAAAATAATTAAAATACCCCAAACTTTGAAGGTGTGTGAAATGAACACCCCAAACTTGCATATGTAATTTAAATACCATGAAGTTTATATAAAAACTTATTTTAGCACCATATATACTCAAGTATTATTTCTTTCCAAAATGTAAACTTATGATGTTAATGACAAAATTTAAAATATTTTAGAATTCATGAAGACACAATTAACCTTCTAAATTTTCATTGCAAAATAAATAATGTTACCCCTAATCTATGTAATTGCAACTCTTTTAATTTTCTATATTAAATTATGCAATTAACCCCATAAATTTACATTTTTGAAAGAAATAATACATGAAAATGGTGCGAAAATAACTTTTTATACAAAGTTTGGAGTATTTAAATTACATATGCAAGTTTGGGGTGTTTACCTATCTCACACCCCTTCAAACTTTAGAGTATTTTTATTAAACTATGTATAATATTATGTGAGTTATATATTGTATACTTCTATTTAATACTTTTAACAAAGAATATTTCGACTTCATTTTATAAAAATATAACTGATCAAAGTTAAACATGATTAATCAAAAAAAATCAAATATGACAAATTTTAAGGGTGGGTATAATATTTAAAGATAATAAATGTATTCTATGTGACTACATATGTAGGTGCCGAATGTATTGGGATTCTTCTTTAGCATTCTCCAAATGGTTCTTTACATGATTTACAAAGGGAAGAATGAGGACATGAAGAAGCTTCCCCAGCAAGTACCACTCCCACCGAAGTCTCCGGTGGTACTGGTGTTGGAACCGGAGGAAAAGAAGCAGCAACCGCCGGAGCTGACGGAGGAGCAGCTCGTCGACATTGTGAAGCTCGGAGCTTTCCTTTGCTCCGAAAAGATCCATTTCGGCAAGAGTAACCCGGGCGAGGTGGAGATTTCAAAGTTGGATGTAGAGCCGAGGCTGACGGCTGTCAATTAGGTCATTTGCGTGCATGCATGCAGATTTTGGCCTGTTTATGTTATCTGCAAACTGGCTGCTAGCTGGTTCAAGTAGTTTGCGTAAAGTTTATATATGTAACTTGCGTGCTTTTTGTACTTTTATATTGATTTTCCCATATCATGCAATAAAAAACGTAATTTGTTTTTGAGTTCTAATATCCGTACAAAAATGTGCTCTTTATTAACCCATTCTGGTATTTTTACATTCCTTTGCCCAATTAGCTCCAACGTCCAAAATGACCACTTCATTTAGTATTCCGGAAACAACAATTCTTGGTGTACACTTTCTTATACACATCAATACACTCTCGTGTCTGTGAAATGTAGTCACATAGAATACATTTATTAGACATTTATTAGACATTAACAGGCAAAACAAAACTCTCACAGACACAGGGGTATACTAATGTGTATAAGAAGGTGTAGAAAAGGAATTTTTGTTCCGGAAAAGGATAAGAGGGACTTTCATTTTGTTTTTAACCGCAGTCCAACCGTCAAAACTTTGACAATTGTAAAATGCATAATACTTCCTCCCTTCTTTTTCAATTGTAACGATCCACTTTTCACGTTTGTCAACACACAAGTTTAACAATTAATATCTTTCATTCATTATTAGTAAATAATTAAAAAATTCATATTTTGACTATTTAAAATGAGAGGAATTTAAAAATATTTTTTAAAAATTTAATTTATAATACATTAATAAATAAAATATAGTCAAAGTAGAATATGTGAACAGTGCAAAAGTCCAATGTTGCAATTAAAAGAGAACAAAGGCGGTTGCAAAAGGTCCACTGTTGCAATGTTGCAAAAAGTTCAGATTATAGTCAAATATTAGAGCATCTACGATGGTTGTTTCTAGGGACTTGCTAACCAAAACAAGTTACTTGCTAGAAAGGAGTGAAATTTGAATTAAAATGGTAATCACCAATTTTGAATTGATATTGTTTAATTCAGTATATTTATTTTATTCAATTTTTTGCTTTGTTGATTTAAAAAAACTTATTAACTTTCTCATGAAATATTTAAATTTGATATTTTTCAGTATGTGTGTGTTGTTCAAATTTCTTATTCCTTATTTTTTTACTTAACAAAATTACATATATTTTTACTAATTTTAAAAATATGCATTTTCAAATTATGCTCGTTATAATAATCATGGCACAGATAATTTATGGGTTTAAAAATATCATTTACATTTTCCCAATTTGAAAATATTTCAAAATAAGTATTATTTTTATTATATTAATAAATCAATTCATTCGACATGTATATTTTCAAAATTGTTTGATTTGTGCGGCCTATTCGAGAGGCAAGTATTGTTTCTAACCATTCGATTATCACATTGCTGAAAAATGAATTAGCCAGAAAAAGCTGATGTGCCAACCAAAGCTACAATGTATTTAGCTAGCCATGCTCCTGACATCTATCAAATGAGATCAACCCAAATAATTAATTATGGTCCAATTAAAAACATACTTATTATGTTTCAATTTAGTAACTATAGTAAAATAAACATAAGGGAGTTGTCATTTATTTGGCATAGTGAAATGTAGTTTATCGGTTTGATTTTTGCAAATGTCTAAATGTCTAACAAGTTGCAACTATTGTCCTGTAATAATCTACTCCAAAATAAGGGAGTAATGATTAACGGAGAAACAAAGTTCACTATTAAATTATCAAAGGCAATGATTGTATGTATTTACGACATTGCAAAGTTGAGATACCACACATATGTGTAGAGATGACAATTTCGGCCGACCCATTGGATATCCGCATCGAACCAATTTGGTCAAATTGGGGAAAACCGGTTTGACTGGGGAATGGGTACGGGGCAGAGAATACCCGAAATTTTTAAATGAATAATGGTTCGGTTATGGTTCTATACTAATCCGCCCCGTTATCCGCCCCGAAACCGCCCCGTTCACTATTGGTGTGGGTACCCGCACCGTTACCTGATCCGTAACATTATTAATAAATTATAACTTTTATATATAAGAATAATAGGTATATATGCTAAATTGTGTATACTAAATTGTATATATCATATCATATAAGTATAGGGAGAACTATCAAATAAACCCTCGAACTTTCATAAAAAGTGCAAATAAGCCCTTTTATAGGAGGCTTTATCCGGCGGTCTCCATTTGGGGCGGTTTTCGGTGGAATTATTTGATGAATTTTTTTAGCATCTTCTTCATTAAGTCTAGTATACCCATACCAAATGTCAGCTAAAAATACAATTGAGAAGGCAGTCAAATGATTTTCTGAAATATATTGCGCTGCCTAACTGCGCAGTTATCTTCAAAAATTCATTTGACTGCCTTACAGATTGACTTTTTAGCTGAAATTTGGTATGAGTAAACTAGAATCAATGAAGAAGATTCTAAAAAAAATTCATCAAAAGAATCCACCGGAAAATGCCCCAAATGGCCACGACCGGGCAGAGCCTCCTATAAAAGGGTTTATTTACACTTTTTATGAAAGTTCGAGGGCTTATTTGATAGTTCTCCCTATAAGTATATAAAGAATAATACACCAGAGGCCCAATTCAAAAAACTCTATCAATTTTTGTGAATTAGGCCTAAAACAATGTTTTTGCGATGGATTACTACTTTTTTATGCCTAAAACAGTTTTGTGTGTGATGGATTACTACTTTTTTAGGCCTAAAACTAAATATAGGACTAAACCAGTTTTTGGAATTTTGATTCTGGAATGCTTACTACTTTTTTATTATGTTACAAGAGATATTAGGTGCATGTCTATTGAATTTAGGCCAGTCTGCTTGATTGCTTAAATATTTACTTTTGTATGTTTTAGGGTGCTTTGAATATATAAATAACAAGAGGGATTAGAAATTGGTTATTTGGTATCATTTGGGCAAACGATTACTCGTGGATAAACTGATTCCCCGTTGGGCGGATACGGTTCAAATAAAAATTACCCGAACGGGTAATGGGGCGGTTTTGCGGCAAACATTTATCCAACGGGACGGTTTCAGTTTTATGTGTACCCGCCCCCGATCCGCCCCGTTGCCATCCCTAGACATGTATGACTTATTGCACAAATTAAATAAGGGACAAGGACCTGTTTGGATATCGACGGTTTAGGTCAAATCGTCAATTTTTTACAAAAGGAAATGCCGCTTTTTGCAATGTTTTGTCGTGAAAGTTCAAAGAAACAAATGGAACCAAAGTTTTTACAAATTTTAATTAGATTGCTACATGCATTATTAACGGAAAACGCCAAAGATACCTAAATGTGTTATTTACTTCAATACTGATTAAGATCTGACATTATTTACAAAATTAAAAAAAAAATGATTATGGTATGGCTTAACTTGCAAGTATAAGCTTGTTGATGTAGTATGAAAATATAAAAAAAAATACTGGGTCCATCCACAAGGAGACATTGCTTTAATTTATAAAATTTGGGTTTCAGAATTCAAATAGAGAATATATTTAAAGTGCAAGTATTTTGTTGTTTTATATGAATATATATATGGTAAAACGACCAAAGCATATGGATTCACCTAAACATTAGCTAAAGTTTAATATAAGTTCTTTATCACTACCACATCTCTAACTCCAGTTAAGGCAATGCAATTAAAGCATGGTTTTCCCTACGTGTGAGTCTTTTACAAGTCAAATTCATCTAGAGAAAAACCTTGTTGAATATTAAGATACCACACACATACCATACAAGATCCGAAGATCGGGTACATTTTCATCCTCAATTCTTTGTATGTTTATTTTCCTAGAGAATTGAATGATCTATATTACAACTTTAGTTAACCTTATAAACCTTTAGATGTTATGCCACATAGTTGTATAGTTTTTGCTTTAAGGAGATTAAAATGTGAATTACTACTATGTTACCAAAACTTGAACGGTTGGAAGAAATGAGCTCCCACACCTCAAGAGCACCATGAAAAGCAAAGAACAACTATAAAAATTGATAATGAGATAATAAACCGAATGATGCATTTGGAATGGATTGGAAGATTTATATAGGCTAGAAAATTATTTTTAGGAGTCTATTAATGATCCAAGATCAGATTGGGGCAAATTTTTTTAGTCATACCATCAAAATATCTTTATTTCAGTTCAAGAATATCTTCCACGTCATGCTGTTTTTTTGTAGATTTTCCGACTCCATTGCTGCTTATGGGGCTAGGTCGACGCCAAAGTTAACTTTGGACGTCGGAATCAAGAAAATCACATCTCCGACACCGGAATTGGAATGGCGGGCTCGACGCTGATTTCTTCCAACGAATTTCCGGCGGGTTTTCTCTCTTCGAATGATCAAAGTCCAGTGTCAGTTTTGACCTAGGTGCGGCGTTGGAGTTTTAATTTCTGAACGCTCTTCCCTTTTCATCGGCTTTTGGTTCCCGTGAATGACCTAGAAGTGTGGGGCTCCAGTTTTGTTTGAAATGTAACATACCTTTCGTCACTTTTGACTATATAGATGTCGTTTGTGTTAAATTGAAGATATTTGTCTGATTTATCTTCTTTTCTTCACTAGATACATATTATTACTCACGTAAAAAACAAGTAGTTATAATGCTTTAATATTTAGAAAAGAATATAATATCCAATATAAATGAGGTACAAAAATTATTGTTTTGAGTTAATTCAGTCAGAAAAGTAATTTCATTTTCATTTTATGTTTTTTTACTATTACATAATTTTGCACAGAGAATTAAAATTTTAGTATGGTAAAATTATGAGTCGTTAGATGATTGTGTACCGATTCTTAGCAATGTGAGTCTTTAAAAGGGAATGTTTTGGATAAGATTTAATCAAATTAGAAATAGAAAAAAGGATGAAGTGAAAAAACATTCTGACGGGCCGGAACGTATCACATTTAAGACACTGTCCTGATTTGAAAATCAAGACAAAAAAAGTGGTTTGGCAATTTATCCAAATCAATATGCTGAACTTGCGCAAGTAAAGGACAAAATGGCCCATCAGCTGAATAAACATTGATGAAACGCAACATCGATTATATTAGTAGACGGGTGGGCATAGCTCAACCGGTAGAGAGAGGTGATGCAACAAGGGGTAAGTTTCGGATTCGAATCCCGACAACTGCGATGAGAGGTTTACTGCTGAAAATGCATAGAGCCTCTGGAAGTACCAGAACCAGCGTCTCACTCTCTGTCTGTCAGTTTGAGATTTTAGTTCAATTTACATACTCTAATCTATCTGTTCGGTCGGTAT